TACTTGTGTGACCCTCATCATGATCTAAGTTTAGAATACTTCTACCATGCAGCTATGCTGTTTGATTTCAGAGGCATTAGGCACAGAATTATCTGGAAAGTATAGATTTTAGATCAGATACTGGTGCTAAAGTTACTGCCAACGGCTGTTTTCCATAAAGTGTGCTGCCACCACATGTTTGTGCATCTCCAGAACTCGATGTGGAGCTCTTGCGCTTTTCTTGATGATCCTTAAGTAATACCTATCAAGTGGTGGAACATCTGAGGGACAGAAAGTAAATGAGGATTCTGGGAACTGGGTTCAGTGCCAGCTGGACTTTGTGGAGCACATGACCTGAGGCAGTCACATCTTAGCTCCAGATGAACATAATACCACCAGGTAGAAAATCAGGTACCAGCCAAGGAGGAGTGAGAGGGAAGTCTGATTACCTTCAGCAGAACACTTTTAGCAAATTTAAATTTGCTGGAGAGATGGCTCAGTGGTTACAAGCATTGGCTGCTCTTGCAGAGGACCCCAGTTCTGTTCCCAGCACCCACATGGCAGCTAACAATCATCCATAACTCCAGTTCCAGGGGATCTGATGCCCTCTTCTCATCTCTGCAGGCACTGCATGACATGGGTGCACTTATACACATGCAGGCAAAACATAAAATATAAACAATAAAAACAGAGTTGATCTGATTAGAGACTAGAGGGGTCCTAGGTATTTCTTAGGGTCTCAGAAACATGTCATTGATGTTCTGGGGACTCCAAAGAGCACTTGAGGTTTGACATTTTGAGACTCCAGTTACAATCACTTCTGGGCAAACACTGCAGCTAGTGGATTCATACTTTATCATGATATATTTTTGTTTTGTTTTGTTTATTTGAACAAGGGTCTCCCTGTAGCCCCAGTTAGCCTGGAACTCACTATGTAGACTAGGCTGGCCTCAATCTCACAAAGATCAGCCTGTCTCTGCCTCCCAAATGCTGAGATTAAAGGCATGTGCCAGCAAGTCCAATTTATCATGATGTATTTTAAAATAAGACTTTATCTTTACATAAAATGCATTTGAGCCATTTAGTTGAGTAGTATTGGAAAATAAAAACACATTGGTCTGAGTGTCAATGGTTTTAAGATACTTATTCAAAAATAAACATACATGCACAATAATTATTAACTTCAAGATTGTGATTTTAATTTTCTGTATATTGTTCCCTATTTCTTTTGTTTTATTTATTATTTTTATTTAATGTGTATAAGTGCATTGCTTGCATGTAGGTAGATGCACCTGTGGTGTGCAATGCTCAAAGAGGTCAGAAGAGAGTGTCCCTGGAACTGGAATTACAGACGGTTGTTAGCTTCCATGTGGGTACTGGGAATCAAACCCGGGTCCTCTGCAAGGGCAGTGCTTTTAGCTGCTGAGCCATTTCTCCAGTCCCATACTGTTCCCTATTTCAATTCAAATATTTACTGAATTACCACCATCCAAAAGATACTGCCAACCAGTTCTTGAGTTTGAGCCTGTGATATACAAGTAGAACAATGAGGCTCTGCCGTCCTTACGTGGAACTGACATCTAAGGCCTAGAGAAAGGTGAGGAGAGGACTTAAACTGAGGGACATCTCCGGACACTAACTTTACATAATAGGCCTTAATACAAATGACAGAATGTATGAACTCCAGTGGAGGGGGGTATGGAAGGGTACCAAAGGGGAAAGGGGAAGGGGTATAAAGATGTATGCAATACACAAAATTCAATAAAAAAAATTTTTAAAGACAAGCACATAAAGTCACTCTGGTGGTGGAATGTTGTTGCTGTGTTTTGGAGCATGGCAGGACTATATGCATGCAGAAGGTTCACAAAACAAGAGGCATTTGATATGTCTTAAAAGAAGAATATTAATTCTGAATCCTTTTC